ATTGGCTTCCTGTAAAATCCAGGATAGAATTTAAAATCCTGCTTATAACATATTAAACTCTCAATGACTAGCTCCATCTCACCTTAAAGACCTTGTTGTACCGTATCATCCTAACAGAGCCCTTCACTCTCAGACTGCAGGTCTGCTTGTGGTTGCAGAGTTTCCAGAAGCAAAATGGAAGGCAGAGCCTTTGGTTATCAGCTCCTCTCTTATGGAATCAGCTCCCAGTTTGGGTTCTGGAGGCAGACACCCTCTCTACTTTTAAGATTAGGCTTAAAACTCTCCTCTTTGATAAAGCTGATAGTTAGATCTGCTCAGGATCACCTGAACTGTCCCTTAGTTATGCTGCTATAATTTTAGACTCCCGGGGAGTCCCATGCACTATCTACAGGACAGTCAACTTCTTCATCCACACCAGTTTGGTTTCAGACCAGGCTACTCAACAGAAACAGCAAACTGTTGCCGCATTGAAAATATTAAACAGAGCCTGAATGGGGGTAATGTTATGGGAGCTGTTTTTCTTGACCTCAAAAAAGCATTTGATACTGTCAATCATACTTTGCTTTCATCCAAATTAATCTCTTTTGGTTTTTCCTCTGATACAATAGATTAGTTCACATCATATTTGCAGAACAGAGAACAATGTGTCAAAGATCACCAGAACAAATCAATGTTTTTAAATACCCACATGGGCATCCCACAAAGGTCCATTCTTGGTCCCTTATTGTTCATCCTTTTCATTAATGACCTGCCGATAAACTGCTCCACTGCAGCATGTCAACTTTATGCAGATGATGCAGTTGTATATACGGCCCCAAGACACCAGCACAGGCTGCGGACATCCCATCTTCATGTATGGTTAATGTCCAAGAGTGACTTGTTCAAAATCGCCTCGTAACTGGAAAAAACTGTGTCTATGTGTTTCTCAGTTCTCAAACCAACAACATTTTAAAGTTAACATACAAAACCAAGAAATTCGTTCAGTGACAGAATTCAAGTCCCTTGGGGTTGTCTTAGACCCTCAACTTAAATTTAATCTCCATGTAAAGAAGATTTCATAAACAGTCAAAAAAAAATTTTTTTAAACAAACAGTTTTTTGAGTTTTGACAACTTCATCGATCTTTACTTTCTCAAATTAATGTTTCAATGCCTCAATAAATCAGCGCCACAGCCACTCTGTGGATTCATCCATAGACAGAATGGCAGCAGGGTCACCAGAAGTTCCACCAAGAACAACTGCAAAATAACTTACTGCAGAACTACATTTGGTCAGACAGCCTTTTCAATCAAAGGCTGTCACATCTGGAACACATTACCAAATGAAATTAGCTTATTAGCAGACTTAAAAACTTTCACAGCAAAAGTTAAGAACTGGCTGAAAGAAAAACAAGAATGCACCCACCTATGACATGCATAAGGTCAGACTGACTGGGGGTTGTGCCGTTTTGTGTCTGTGTATGTGTGTGTGGGCAGGTGGTTGGGGGATTATATGTTTATAATGTAGTCTGTGCTGTTTTTATTGGTGTTGTTGGACTTTTGTCTATTTTTACTGAAAAGCCCAACCAGGGACAGGAGTTGAAAATTAGCTTAATGCTATACACTGTATATGCGATACATCAAACCTTTTCTATGTAAAAATGCATGGTCCCTGTTCAAATAAATAAATAAATTAAATTAAAAGATGTACTGAGCTCCTCTCCTCTCCTCTCCTCTCCTTTCTCTTCCTTCCATACAGTTATAACCGCCATTACATGTCACTAACTCTGTGTTCCCCCTGAGATCCTGTGCTTGTTCTCTCTGTGGACATCTCTGGATCTGGAGCTTCTTGTCTCTGACCTGCAGCCGCTGGCCTCACCGACCCCCAAAATACTTATATTAATTTATATTGTTCCATTCTATTGCTGCTCTCCATCTGCTATCCTGTTATTCCCTTCTCATCCCCACTCTCACTCTACCGGTCGAGGCAGATGGCCTCCTTCCCTGAGCCTGGTTCTGCCGGAGGTTTTTCTTCCTCCCTTGGGGGGTTGTTTGGTTCCTTCCCACCATTGCCAACTGCTTGCTCAGAGGGAGTCCTAAGGCTTCTTTGGATTGTTGGGTTCTCTGTTTAAATTCTTAAGGTCTGCACCTGACTATGTTAAGCGCTGTGTGATGATATATGTTGTAAACTGTGCTATACAAATAAAATTGAATTGAATTGAATTGTGTTGATCTGAGTGTCCTGTGCTGTCTGTTCATTCAGTCTATCCCTGTTTAGTTTTTTTTAACCATGTCCACATAGTCCACAGCTTGATCCAGTTTTTGTCTTATTTTCTTCTTCTTATTATTTTGTCTGCTCCCCATTACCCACACATTGTGCTCAGGCTGTAGCCTGCTAGCTTTATCATATGGTGATAGTTTGCACCTTGATGAGTTTTTCCTTTTTTTTGTGAAATGTATTTGTGTTTATTTAGGAAAACAGCTAACTACACAATGGCAACAGGGACTTGAATACATAACATAAGTGGTTGCTGAACAATTAAATAAAAAGATGTATGTGTCAGACAACAAATGATAGAACCACTTCACATACTGTTGTTCATACATAATGTTAAGTAAAGAAGAAATATTGTCCCATTATATTGCAATACCTACATCAGTCCAACTGTACAGATGTAACACAATATGCTTCTGACCTGGAGGTCCTGGTGGACCAGTATTTCCAAGGTCTCCTTTTTCTCCTTTGAGCCCAGGAAGTCCAGGAATTCCTGCACAACAACACATGATTTTCACTCACGTGCATTTTAAACAGCCACACATATATACATTCTTCTACATATATTTTTAGGTACCTTTCTGGCCATTGAGTCCAGTGTCACCTTTTTCTCCATTGGGGCCTGCAGTCAGAGCACAGGACCCAACAGTCAGAAGTAAAACATATGTCCTGAGAGCTTTTCTCATACTGAATGAGAGTTTACTTCCATACAGTGTAGAAAGCGCTCCCTAAGGGCAACTGAGGGGGAAAAAAACTCATCTGATGTGGAGGGAGGCGACAGTGCAGTCGCTAGCACAGTCGCCTCTCCGTGCAGTGTGGATTCTCTCCGGGTTCTCCAGCTTTCTCCCACAGTCCAGAAACATGTTGAGGTTAATTGGTGATTCTAAATTGTCCATAGGTGTGAATGTGAGTGTACTTGGTTGTCTGTCTCTAAGTGTAGCCCTGTGATAGACTGGTTACCTGTCCAGGTGAACNGCAGTTGTCGTACTTGGAGAGAGGACAAGGACAAGAGGAAGGGTGGGAATTTTAAAAATTCTCACATCAAATATGATTTAAATGTGTTTTTGCGACTTACGTTGGGTCAGTCAAGGGTGGGCCAGTCAAAGGGGGTCCGCGGGCCGGATGTGGCCTCCGGGCCGCTAATTGAATTGCTCTGGCGTAGAGCATGCGTACAAACATTCCTACGCAAAGTATGGAATATATCAACTTGTACTTACACTTAGGAATGTGCGTAAATATAAGCACAACTCTGACCATGCTCATGCACATAATCTAGCAGTAGAATAGTGAAACTACGAATAGAAAGCATTCAGGGATTTTGACACATTCCAGCGTGAGGTCGGAGACATGTGCAGCATTTCCAGCCATCACTGAGCAGGATCATGCTGGCAGTGTTGATGCCATAACTCCTCTGGCCCCAGCCTACATCCAGCTCCCTTACAGACATCACCAACGAGCCCAAGTGGAGTCATAGACTGCACCCACATCCCATTCAAAGCTGCATCACTAAACACATTTAATTATGTAAATAGAAAAGGGCTTCATTCAATCAATGTACATATAATTTGCGATGCACATTTGTGGCTATCGATCGTTGTTGCCTGGTGGCCTGGAGGAACACACCACTTATTCATTGAGCAGAACAGCTCTGTGGGTCTCCAAGCAGGAGCTGTTAAAGATGGCTGGTTTATTGGTGAGTGTTACAGAGTGTGGAAATGTTTTTGCTGGACTTAGTTTGGTTAACAAAACATCTCATCTGCAGGCGATCAGGGTTATTCACTGGGTGAACTTTGGGTATTCATTTGTCCTCCTCCAGTTACAGTCATTTCTCTTTTATGGGCTGTGATGCGCTTTTTGGCACTGAGCTTAATGTCAAACCACTTTTTGAAAAAAAATATTTCTGCTGGCAATCTCTCCTCTGACCTAACAAAATAACTGCGGTGGTTATCTTGTCCCATGCAGTATTTGTTCTTTTGTTGGATACATTTATAATGCATCAAACAATATTTTCTGGTTAGCTTCAGCCTCGCTAACAAGTACCTCAATTTCGGTGCTGTTGCCATATATGGTTGATTGGAGGTGTTTCCAAAGGCAAATGATCCTGACAGTGCATGGGCATGGTGGTTAAGAACAAGTGGGATTTACCAACACTGATGACTTACTGATGTGTGTACGACCCACGTATGCATGTTTGATAAATAC